TTAATGCATATTATCTACAGATATTTTTCAAAAAAAATTGTGCCCATGAGTCAGGCATTTTATCAGCAGTTAAAATTTGTTTTCAAGTGCTAAGTCCAAAGAAAAATAATTTCATATACATATATACACACACACATACACACACAAAGAGACTCAAAAAAATTCCACAAGTATAAATTCTCTGGATGTAAATTACTTAAGATATCTATTAATTGACAAAAAAATGAATCAAAGTTAAAAACTGAGGAACAAGGAATGTGGTAGACTGCTCTCTAGAACTTTGAACAGGTAAAATTTCCTATCATAAGAAACCTGAGGGGAATTATTGCTCAGACAATGACTATATTCATCATACAAAATTAACGGCAACTGTGGATGCTTTGGTTGTCTCCATTTAGTTGTATCTGTATGCAACTAAAAGAAAGCAATTTCATTGTGAAAAATGATTCTTCACATTAGAATAATCCTGTAATATGTAACAGAAAATTCTCTAGAAATTTCCTTCCCTCAGATTAAGGCTTACTACCAGATTCAGTTACTTAGTTAAGTATATTTCTCAGTATCCCTCCCTTATCCAAAGAGAATATGTTGCCAGGCCCCCAATGGATGCCTGAAACCATGTATAATATGGAAATTTATTTATACTATGTTTTTTTCTGTTCCTACATGCATATGATAAAGTTTAATTTATAATTTAAGCACAATAAGAGATTAATATCAATTGTTAACATCAATAACTAATAATAAAATAGGACAAGTATAATAATTATAATAACAAATAAAATGGAACAATTATTTGAATGCCAACAACATGATACAGTGGCAGTGGATACGATACCTGAGAGGGCTGCTGAGTGCCTAAGGGTCTGGGCATGTACAGCATGGACCATGGGCACGTACAGTGGGACAAAGGGAGGATTCCCATCCCTGGCAAGAAGGACCAAGACAGCATGAGGTTTCATCATGCAACTCAGAATAACACAGAATTCAAAATTTATGAATTGTTTATTTCTGGACTTTTCCAGTTAATACTTTCTGATGACAGTTGATCTCAGGGCACTGAAACCACATAGAGCAAAACTGCGAACAAAGGATACTACTGTAATTCTTTTTTTTTTAAATATTAATCATGTTTGGGAAGGATATAAATACTTATCTTTGATGGGTGTTTCTTTTATTTTGGTAACTGATAATCTCCATGAAAAGTGTGAACATTAAAATATATTAAAGATAGGAATTTTTTCCTGAATTTCATACCATGAAGACCATGTATAGTTCAATGAAAGGAACTTCACATGCTTTTCAAGCTTTTATATTGTTGAGTAGGATATATTGCCTTTGTGTAGAAGTTCCTTTTAAGATCGCTGGCTAAAGAGAATTCTTAGGCCCCATCACTAACTTTGCATGTCCCTCTTACTTCTTGTGACTTTCAGAGAGACCATGAGTAGTGGCACTATAACAACAGTCCTTTCAAGACCAACTTGTTCAGCTTAAAGGCTAGGGCTCCAGAGTTTATAAGTGACCTGTAGAGCTGATTTCCTCCAATATTATCAGACTGCTTTGGCAAACAAAAAGACACTGAGATCACCTTCCTCATTATATTTCCTCTTGACATTGCAAGGAAAAAAATAGATACCCACAGAATACTGAACACTGGTTATCAGAGTTAGTTGAAGAAAACAACTTTTATTTATTTATTTATTTATTTATTTATTTATTTATTTGTCTGTCTGTTTATTTATTTATTTATTTTAATTGTTTACTGTGTTTTTTCATTACCATTTACCCCCTTGTGCCCTCTTCCACCTCCACCCACGCCCCATTCCCAGCAATTACCACGCTGTTGTCCAACACTGTCGTCCATGTCCATGAGTCCTTTTCTTTTTTCACTTGATCCTCCACCCCCCAGTCCCCTCCCAGAGCTGTCAGTCTCCTCTCTATCTACAAGTGTCTCTCTATTTTACCTGTTAGTTTAGTTTGTTCATTACATTCCACATATGAGTGGAATCATATGGTATTTGTCTTTCTATGACTGGCTTATTTTACTTAATGTTCTTCAGGCCCATCCATGATGTTACAAAGGATAAAAATTTCTTGTTTTTTAAAGCCAAATAATATTCCTTTGTGTAATTTTACCATAGTTGTGTTATCCACTCATCTACTGATGGACACTTGGGCTGCTTCAAGATATTGGCTATTGTAAATAACACTGAAATGAACATAGGGGTGCTTATATTCTTTGAATTAGCACTTTGGGTTTCTTTGGATAAATTCCCAGAAGTGGAATCGCTGGGTCATAAGGTAGTTACATTTTTAATTTTTTGAGGTATCTCCATACAGCTTTCCACAGTGGCTGCACCAGCCTGCATCTCCACCAACAGTGCAAAAGGGCTCCCCTTTCACCGCATTCTCGCCACACTTGTTGTTTGTTGATTTATTGATGGTAGCCCATATGACTGGTGTGAGCTGATATCTCATTGTGGTTTTAACTTGCATTTCCCTGATGATTAGTGATGTTGAGCATCTTTACATATGTCTAACTGTCATCTGGATGGCCTCTTTGGAGAAATATCTATTCACATCCTTTGCCCATTTTTTGATTGCATTTTCGGCGGGGGGATTTGGTGTTCAGTTTTTTAAGTTCTTTACAAATGTTGGATATTAACCCCTTACCTGATGTATCATTGAATATGTTCTCTGATTCAGTGAGTTGTCTTATTTTGTGATGGTTTCCTTTGCTGTACAAAAACTTTTTAATTTGATGTAGTCCCATTTTTAATTTTTTCATTTGTTTCCCTTGCTGAGAAGATAAACCAGATAAAGTATTGCTATGAGTAATGTCTGAGATTTTACTACCTATATTTTCTTCTAGGATTTTTATGGTCATGAATCTAACATTTAAGTCTTTAATTCATTTTGAATTTATTCTGTATGTGGCCTGAGAAAGTGGTCTAGTTTCATTTTTCTGCATGTCTCTGTCTAATTTTCCCAACACCATTTATTGCATAAACTAGAAAACCAAATACAGCAATAAAGCGAAAAGATCATATACCATGGTCAAGTGGGATTTGTCCTGGGAATGCAAGGTTGGTACAACATTCACAAATCAATAAATGCAATTCACCACCAAAACAAAATGAAGTATAAAAACCACATGACTATATAAATAGATGCAGAAAAAGCATTTGATACAATCCAGCACCCATTTGTATGATAAAACCTCTCAGCAAAGTGGGAATAGAAGGAACATACCTAAACATAATAAAGGCCATATATGACAAACCCACTGCTAGCATTACACTCAACAGGCAAAAATTACAAACAGTCCCCTAAAGATCAGGAAACAGAGATGTCGGCTTTTACCTCTCTTATTCAGCATAGTACTGGAAGTCCTAGCCACAGAACCAGACAAGAAGAAAGAAAAGTCATCCAGATTGGAAAGAAGTAAAACTGTAATATTTGCAGATGACATGACACTGTGCATAGAAAACGCCAAAGATTCCACCAAGAAACTACTAGAACTGAAAAATGGATTCAGTAAAGTAGCAGGATATGAAATTAATATCCAGAAATCAGTTGCGTTTTTTTCTATTAACATTTTCATGTTTTCTTTTCCTTTTTTTATTGTTGTTCAAGTACAGTTGTCTCCCTTTTCCCTCCACCACTCTCCCCCACCCCACCGACCCTCACCTCCCACCCTCAATCCTACCCGCCTTTGCATTTTTATATGTCAACAATGAACTATCAGAAAGGAAAATTAAAAAAGCAATCCCATTCACAATTGCTTCAAAAGGATAAAATACGTAGGAGTAAATTTAACCAAGGATGTAAAAGACCTATACTTGGAAAATTCCAAGACACTGAAGAAAGAAATTAAAGAAGATACAAATAAATAGAAGTACATACTGTATTCACAGATAGGATGAATTAACATCATTAAAAAGTCCATACTCCCCTAACAATACATAGATTCAACACAATTCCTATCAAGATACCAATGGTGTATTTCACAGAACTAGAACAAATATTTCAATAATTCATATGGAACCACAACAGACCCTTAATAGCAACAGTGATCTTGAGAAAGAAGAACAATTTTGGAAGAATCACACTACCTAATATCAAACTATACTAAAAGGCCACAGTGGTCAAAACAGCATGGTACTGGCATAAAAACAGACACATAGATCAATGGAACAGAATATGGAGCCCAGTAATAAACCCATGCCTTTATAGTTGATTAACATTTGACAGGAATAAAACAATTTTTATAATTATGTACTTAATATCTTTCATGAAACTTTAATAACCAAAGTTATAAATAAATTATTCACACCAGGAACAAAACAATAGAGATTGTATAGGATCAGTTTGAATTAGCTAACAATCAGTCTACAATCCATCCTGGCATTTCTTGGATATTTTGAGAGTTGTAGTTAATTCCAGCCAAAACAATACGAGAAAGATAAGCATTGAGCCTACCTTTAATGAGATCTCTAAAGAAGATAATTCTAAAACCTTCATAGACCCACCGACAATTTAATAAAATGTCATAAAATTTACATGATGCACTTATGGAAAGATTTAAATTTCTTTATGAAAAACATCATTATCTCTAGGATTGAGGAATTGGGCATATAGTAGTGGGAACAAGGACTGCCCTTTATTGAGTTCCATGCAATTTATAAACTTTATTTTAATGAACCTATTGTGAGCTTTAAAAGGCAAGTATAGGGGCAGGAAATATGGTGCTGGGAAATAATAAGCATTTCATACTTAAATTTGTTAAATTGAAGCTTCACAAGCCTTCTAAAACAGATGACACAGTCCCTATTTTGCAGTTGAAGAAAAGGCCTCAGAGAGATAAACTAGCTTTCTCAAGATCACACAGCAAAGATCATCTGAAAAATTTATCTGATATGAAAGCCTTTATAGATAAGCCTGCTATACTGTAATGTTTGTTTTTAAATTATTTTATTAGCTGAATTTTATACTTGCAGGTGTTTTCTTACACTGCTGACAAAGAAATCCGAACCGATGACTTGTGCTTGGATGTTTCTAGACTCAATGGACCTGTAATCATGTTAAAATGCCACCATATGAGAGGAAATCAGTTATGGGAATATGATGCTGAGGTATAGTATTTTCCTTAATTTACTTATTTTATATGTTTCAACTCACTAATATACAGGGTGGAGCAAAAGTGGGTGAAACAGAGTTTTTCCTTATATTCTTATTTATTAGTTATTTTATTATTTTCCACATAAACAACTGTAAACATACTTTTGCCCCACCCTGTATTTCAAAATATATTTAAACCCTAAGTTATTTTTTTCAGCATTGGAAGACCTGCATTTTCAAGCATGTATGCTCATATGGATAATATTAGGATGGTATATTATATAAATAGGTTTTTGCCAAACTGGTCCTTAAGTATAAAATATAAATGAGAAACATAAAGTCATTTTAAGTACATAATATTATTTATCATATGTACATGCTTAACATAAATTAGGTAAAGGGCAGGCTATGCTACCTTAGAGGTGAGTTTGCAAATGTACATACAAGACATTATCAATATTTTCATATTTTAAATTTTATAGTGTTGAAATCTGTGATATTTCTACTTCTTACTTTAAAAGGAAAAAGAAAAACCTGGTAGAATTAGCATTTACATTCTTTATAATAGTTAATACTCTGAAAAATTCAATAAATTAATTAGGTATATAATCAGCTAAGCAGCATCTTCTCAATTTAGCACATCTTTCTGAGAGAAGACAGGGAGGAAAAAACAGTCAAATTACTGTTGGGAATTTATGACCACGCAGTGTGTAAAAACCAGATCAACCATCAGATGGAGCTAATAAAAAAGAAATATTTTTCTCTGCCTAAGGAAGCTGCCTTGAAACAGCTTTATTTTTTTCATTTATCTTTGCTCAACAAAGTGAGTTGGTCATCTGTGTTATGTTTTCCACATTATTAAGTGGTTGGTGACTTATTTAAGGTAAGATTTATCATATAAGAATAAAGAAGCAAACTTTATTCTTATATGATAAATAATATAATAGAGGTAAATGGATTTCACAAATACAGTATTCTATGTAAGCTTAAAATATTCTGTAAGAGTAACATTTTAAAAACTGATCTACAGAGTTGTTGGTATTACTAATGTGTAACAAGGCCTTCTTTGAAAGAAACTTTCTGAATGTCATTTTAATTTGCATGATGTTATAATTTCTGAAGTGGAATATCAGGAGAACTTACTGAATGCTTATATGATTTGAAACTAGTTACATAGGATTAAAATGTGGCCCTAAACTTTATATAATATTACCAAACTCTTTGCATACAACATCATCTTCTGGGTCGTAATTTTAAAGCAAACATCATGAATCCTATGTTGCACCAGGGTGCTCTCTTCACGCTTTTGTCCTCTCAGTACCTTATTCACCTTCTCTATCTGGCAACCACTATTTTTCTCTTCATTATCACCACCACCCTTTGTATTAAGACTGCAGAACAATTCCTCTAGTAATACATGTGAGTAATTGTGAATCTTTCTTTTGTTCCCTACCTCCTCTATGAGGAAAGGTACAGATAAATGTACAGAAAAAGGAGAAATCCTGAAAGAGGTATTTTTTAAAAATAAAACTTTTTATTGTTGTTTTAGTTCTTTAGTTTTCACCAGAATCCTGGGATTTTATTGGGCATGTGCTCTAGCATATATTTATAAGAAAAGGGAAAAGGGTGTCCATTTTTTTTAAGATGGAGCATTGTTGATTTTCAGAATACCACTCTTAATCTTCAAACTTTTTAATTTTTGAGTGGATATTGGTTTTTATAATCTTGCCTCAAATTCCTTTATTTCTGAAAAAAACATTGTTGGTAATTAGACATATGTTTTTATTTATATTTTTATCAGCCAGTAGGAAGATTATTGAATACCATGAATTTTCAAAGAAAAGTGAAGAAAAGATTGGTAGCCTCAACTAAGATAAAGAAATGTTTTGTTTTTTTAATTTACTATTTTGGATGAGTGAGAGTTATCTATTGCAGTATTATTAGATAATTGCTATATTTTGTATCAGGTAAATTTTGTTTCTACAACACATACAAATAAAGCTCATAAATATTGAGAAATGTTTATTTTGAAATAAATTAGTCAATCACCTTAACAATTACTTAACAGTTTTATTTACATGTTTAGGTTTCCAGAATTAAATTATGATATTTAACTTGTCTAAATTTGAAATTTTAAATCATAATGTATTTTTTGCTAAATTTGTAAATGTATAAATCATAGTGTAGAGAAGGCATAAGAAAATAATTGTAGGAATGATACATTGCCTTTCTGGAAATTTCAGCTTTGAAATAAAAGACTGATATTATTTGTGAAGAAGTCAGAAAAAAAGAAATGATTTTTTTAAATAAAACTGAATTATAATATTTATTTTTTTTCTGATCACCTCTTCTTTTAAATGTTAGGTTTAGGGTCACTGTAGGCTACAGAATAATCCCAACATTTGCTACTCAAAGTGTGATTCTAGGATTAGGAATATCACCTGGGAACTTGTTAGAAAATAGGAATCTGAGATATCAGCCTTGACACACTAAATCAGAGTCTGTATTTCAGCAAAAAGCTCCAAGACATTAACATACATATTAAAGTTTGAGAAGGGCAGGTCTAGACATTGGCCAAACCTTTACTTATCTTCCTCAGTCTTTTTATACCCTGTTGAAAAATACTACAAAGTTATGAAAGGGCATATCTACACTTTAGAAAATGACAAGGTGTCCAAGGGAGATGGGGGAGGAAACGGGAGCAGAAAGGAAAGAGGAGTAACTGCCAAGTAGCTCTAGCCTTCTATTCCAACCAGAAAAAAGTAGACAAGTGCTGCTTGCTATTTTGTAATTTATTCTGTATCTCTTGATATCAAAGGCAAAATTATCTTCTTTGAAAAACTTCTGAGGTGGTGCATTTTCAAAGCAGAATAAAACTTGGAGTTCACCTTGGCGAACTTAGAGAACTAAAGCTTACCTTAAGCTGCTCTTCTCTGAGCCTTTATCAGGAGGACTCGGAAGCACAGAGATGAGACTGCCTGCGGAGGAGGCAGGATTTCGGTGTTAATGATGTATTCAAAGAAAGCTAGTTATCGGTGCAATTGTAACCTTACAGTGTAGGCAGCTGAAATAGTCCATCAGTTTATCTCCTGGAGTCTTTTCAGTCTTAGAAAGGCAAGTCATAAACAGGAACAGAATTGTGGGACTATCCAGGGAAAAATTGAAACAGTGTCATAAAGCCTCAAAGTATGGAGTCTATTTAGCATTTCCGTTTTGTTTTGTTTTGTTTTGTTGTGTTGTGTTTTTAACTATTAACTGATGGAAGAGCACAGGAAATAAAAAGGAATGAAGTGTACTGAGTGACTATAATTTCATCTCTTTTTTCATGTTATTCTAGCAATAGTCCTAAAGGATAATAATATCTTATTTGTAGTCTTTGCATTAGTAAATAAGCTTAGAGTATTTAAATGCCTTCTCTGGGTTTGTATATTCCAGGTTTCTGACATTTAGTCAAGCAATCTTTCCACTATATTACATTCCTGTTGAGGTCATTGAAAAACTCAAAACAATTAGATACTTTCAATGATGATATTCTGATAAGCTAAATGTACAGTTTTATAAATGAAAGAAATAATTAAATGCTGTCAATTATTTGTGGTACCAAATTTTACTCACATATAATTACTCCATAATCATTGGAAATATGTTCTAAAATCACTATTGTCTATTTAGACAAATAGGTAGTCATAAAACTACATTGTCAGCAGGGTCAAATTGCTTACAGACTTCAGCTATCCATATTCATAATAAAATTAATATATAATTACTACTATTTTTATTTGAATAAAATTAAGCACATGTTGGAAAAAAATACATGTCTTTGGTCAACCTTGATTTAAATTATAGTGTCCTACTTTCTTAATGAAATGTTTCTTAAATAACAGAATCATGAATTTAATTCAGTATCACCTATTCCTGGCTGAACATGTTTGTGGGGCAACTGAGCATCATTAGCAAATCTGCAAAATCCTCAGCTGATCTAGACTCTCTTGAATAAACTACCTGAATACATTTGTGCTATGAAAGCCAATTGACTCAGAGTTAAGACAAAAAGGAAAAAAATAACCCTACATTTCATCTCACTGAAACATTTAAAAAATTAATTTTATAAAGGACTGTCATTCATCAATTGTATTTTATTCACGTTTTTGTTATATTATATTTGAACATTGCAATTGCATTCCAATCCATTTGAAATTTACATTTTCCTGCAATAAGTTCACATAATCACAGTCCTTTTTGAATATCTAGGCAGCTACATACAGTGTGACAATCTATTTTTAGAATAGAACACTTATGCTCAACAAACACTATGCAACACAATAAAAAAGGGAGCAAAATATGATGCTGAAAATAAGTCTTGTTTTTCATGTGACTGAAAGAGTTGACTGAGAAAATATTGTTATGAAGTCAATATCCATCTGTATCAAATGTTTCAAAGTCACCATGCAAGGAATTTTTTTCAGTAGGTAAAATATGTTGGACTGGTATTTACTGAAATCACAGAAGCTAATACATAGACTTTACTTAATGCCTCTTTTATTTACCTTATCAGAAAGCAGGTAAATGGGAATATAATTTCAAGGTAAGTGATCTATTAACTGGCAACTCAGCCATTTTCCTGTGTAGTGTTCCTAATAAAAACAGTTGTTTGATTTGCTTTTTGAAGGCTGCTATATCAGATAAGAATCACCTTTCCACATTCTCATTGACTCATAGCTGTGATTCTTAAGTAGAATTAATTAGTGTATAGGAGTTTTAATAGTTTAGTATTGTAGTTTTAGTTCTTGTTTATTAAACATTTACCCTTGTTCAGTAAACTACTCGTTCTGTTCTAACAAATGCACAGATCACTTTGTCAGAAGGTTTTATTTAACATTTTGAATAGCAACTTTATTATGTTAATTTAATATTTGTTATTCTGTACTTGATCAATAGGGGAAATTCTATTGTATTTGCTATGATAATATTAAATTAAATACCTGTAACAGTCTAAATTTATCTTACTTTATTC